GGGCATCTCTTCTTTTATCTAACGGTCTTAATCAATATATTTTCATGTTTATATTTAGCGCTAATTTGTTGTTGGTGAACGTCGACATTGTCATTCTTTGCTAGGCTTGAAAAAGTTATATAAATTATAACTAAATCATAACTACTTTCTACAAGTCTAACACTAAGCGAGAATTTTTCCCATGTTGTTTTCTCAACAACTCGAAAAGATGTTTTGCCAATTATGTGATCTACTCAAAATTTTCGATTTTTCCTTATGCATAATTCATATAAAAAATCATAAATGCCAAACAGCTGACCATTATGAGATCTGACCTTCTTCTTTCTTAACTTCATGCATTATACCTTTAATATCTTGAGCATATAGCGAATCGTTATCGGCTTATACGGTGGTGTTAGAGAATGAGATAATATACTGGATAAGTTATTAATCGTGCTATGAGTAATTTGGGAACAGATTTATGACATAGAAGCCCTATCTTTTGAGTGGGAAGGAACTTTCGTGCTTCAAACCCGAAAGGTGTAGTATAAAGGTAGTATAAATGTATATAGAGAAAGCTCAGTTTTCATACCATGTGATACATCAACAGACGTTTTATTAGCTCTACTTGCACTAGTAAGTAAAAGCACAAACAATCAAGAGTTATCGAATTGATAAGCAAAGAATTTTAGAAAAAAAATCAAAAATTTGAAGGTATAAATACTCTGAAGAAATTCCTTCTGGCGCGTTTTCAAAACACTGAAACAAAGTTTTTGAAGAAAGAAAGCCTCTTTTTTGAAGGCAGTTTGAAGAGGTTAATATCAGATAAAAATGATCTCGTCACGGCTTTTCGTGTGAAGTCTTTCCTCCCTTTTCCTCCGCTAGTCGCACAAGATAATGCGATCTCAAGCTAGTATGTAGAGGACTAATTCCTGTGCTATTTTGCCTATTTTAACTGGGAAAAAGTTTAAAATAAAAGATTTTCTTAGGTATGATATCTATCTGATCGTACGGATGTGTCTGTTGTTTTTAGCATGCGTTTTCTTCTTTTGTAGTTAAAAGCTATCTACTTACTTGTCCACAAATTCATGTATTCCACATTGGTAAAAGGTGGAAGCACGGTTCGTTTCTTAAAACTTGGTCCTTGAGCAAACATAACGGTATGCATATCAAGCTCTATGTTGTCATAACCGTGATCGCCAATATGATTTTTACCGATATCTGCTCGGTGGCTGAAATGTAATCCCAATTATTTCAATCCTGCTCTGAAAATGAGAAAAGTGAGCTTCTATATTACATTTACATTGAATACACTAGATAACCCCTATTTTTTATGCAAATGTAGTTCTTTCGAATTTTTCGCCGTTCAGTTATCCATAACTATCTGTAAAATAATTCTTCAAATACAGAATGACCGCGACCTCGGCTCAAAACTGGTTCACATGTTGCAGATGGCATTGCAGAACCCCCCCAAAAAAAAAGCTGAGGATGAGAGAGCAGTTTCCATAATTGTATTAAGCAACGTTGCCTGGCCTAAGTACTTCAGGATTATGCAAAAAGAAACTACAATGCGTTTTTATCATGGGAAGTTGCGCTAATCTAGGCTACGCATTAGTTCATTTTCAATAAAAGTAGGAGGTAGTATAGACCATCAAATTCTGAAAATTTTTGCTAGTTTCAATGACTGGTGTAACAGAACCCAAGTAATGAACAAATATAATTATTTTTGGAGGTTTCAAAGTCCCAAATTAGTTCTTTTGCGAGAACACTTGATGAGAAAGCTTCATGTAGTTCTTGGAATCCTTTTAATAATTCGGTCCAACTTACAGATAAGTATACTCGTCTCTCTGCCCAGTTACTATAAAATCGCCAATCCTTTTCGATTTTGAGTAGTGGAATCTAACTGGAACTGTCGTTTTGTTGAATACACGAACGTGATCGGTTCCTTTGCATGTGAGGGCGCTCATAATTTCTTCATCCTTTAGTGCTGTAAATTACAGCTGAGGAAATGAATCAAGAAAGGAAATCCTCAGCTTTGCCTCCTCACTCGTGCTGTTTCGAAAGATTAGAGAATTGGCTCCGGTGATAATGACCATATTATCGAGTTTGAACAGCTCGTCTAGCACAACTCG